ATAATAATAATAATAATAATAATAATAATAATAATAATAATAATAATAATAATAATAATAATAATAATAATAACAATTATGAGTAAAATTTTTATTAAATTAATTAGTTAAAAAAAGAATTAAAAGAAGAATTGATAATTACATATCGAATGCCAATTTATGAGCTGCCCTGAAATCTGCCTCATTTAATTCCCTCTGAATTTTAGCGTTACACCGCGAAACCTAAAAAAAAACAAAAATTAAGTTAAATAAAAATTAAAATAAAAAAAAAAAAAATAGACAAACGAATTTTCAACATACCCCCACTCTAATTCCGGTCAACATATTATACATAAGAACATAATTAACATGATCTACACCAATTCTTGTACCAATTATAGGGTCTTCTTCAGTGTTATCTTTTCCCTTTACTCTCCTTGACAATCTTCTTTTTACATTCTCTGCCCATTTTTGTGTTTCCTCGGAAAGTACCAATTCCTCAACCATCATTTCCGCATTATATGTGTTACGACGTTTGAGTTGCCTTTTCTTTTGACTTTTCCCTGGTGTCTCTGCCTGAGAGTCATTTTCATTTGATGCCGGAAATGCTGACATCGATCTTTTAGGTTTCCCTACGATCATACTGTTTGGTCTACGTTTACTTGAGGAGGAGGAGTAGGATTCTCTTATGTCTTTATTATTATTATTACTTTCTTGATCAATATTATCATTTTTTAATTCCAGTATATCATCATCATTATCTGTTGATATTGGTCTTTTGGTATTATCATCGCCGCCACCTGTGCTAAGCGGTTTCTTTATATTGGCGGGAAAACTAACAGACTTTTTTTCTTCAGACGAGAGTTGCCGATTTTCTGTAAAGGAAGGATCGGATCGATTTCTCCTAGGACTTTTATTATTACTAGTATTATTGACTTTGATTCCATTAACACCTCCTTCACTGATATTTTTATTTTCAATGATGTTTATGGAATTTTTTTCTTCTACCGTGAGATTTACTACAGCCGAAGTAACAATTAATGGTTCTACGGCGTTATTTGGAGTATGTCGTGGTTTTTTTTCGGTAATATCAACACCTTATATTATAAATAATAATAATAATAATAATAAAATAATAATAATAGTAAAGATAGTAAACGTGAGTGATAAAATTTATTAATATATAATAAATAATTTATTTAACTTTACAAAAAAAAAAAAAAATTTAAATTATACCAATATTTAAATGTTTTGAAGTGGAATTTTCGTTCAAGGTAGAAGATACCATCATATTTACAACAAATGTTTGATATAATGTATTAAAAATATATCCCTTTATATGTATGTGATATAAAGTTGTCGTAGAGTTAATATAAATAAATAAATAACTCTACCGAGTGATAAATGAAGAGAATTACTGAGAATGCAATTCTAAAAGATATATATAAAAAGAAATGAAATAGAAATAGAAATAAGCGAAATGAAAATAGAAATAGAAATAAGTGAAATGAAAATAGAAATAAGTGAAGTGAAATGAAAATGAAAAATGAATTTTGAGATGGAAGAATATTAAAAAAAAAAAAAATACTATTTTTAAACTTAATTTAAGGAACTAAGATCAAATACTTTAAATAATAAAGTATAAAAGGCACGTACCTGTTTCAAAAAATAAAAATTTGTCGTAAAACTATATAAGAAACGAAAAAGCAAAAAATGAAAGAAATCAAGTTTATTTAAAAAGGAAAGATATAGGAATGATTTAGAGAATTTTGAGTTGAAAAATTTAAGTAATAAATTGGGAAATAGGGTACTCAATATATTAAATGATACAATAAAATAAAGCAAATAAAAAAAGAAAAGCAAATAAAAAAGGGCGATTGAAAATTTGTCCCTTTTTTTTTTTTTTCAATGATATAAAAAACATGCTGTATCATATGTCACGCCACAATTAATAAATAGGCAATAAATAGCAATGAGAATTGATTGGTTTTTCTGATTCTGCACGCGTTTTAGATTTTTCTTTTCGTTAACTTCATTTGATGTCTTATATGGTTTGATAATATCTTTAACCATGTATGGCTGAGGCTAGCGACTCCTGCGTTTGCTTTTTATAGCGAGTTCAGAATTTCTACCATCTTTTTTTTTATCAAACATCGAGATGTGCGAACGGAGAGGGAGAGTTAAATATTTGTTTTAATAATTTGGTTTTAATATTTTTATTGAATAATAAATTTTTAGTTACACTTTCAATATTTTTTTTATATATTTTTATTTTTCATATGTTTTATTCTTAATGTTTTTTCATTATTTTCTTACCAAAATTCACATTGATATTATTTTCTTTTGAAGTATTAAAAAGACAATTAAGTATGTTAATTGGATTCCTGCAGAAAAAAATATTTATCAAATAATGATCTTACCGAAAATCAAAAAAAAAAAAAATTTTATTCTATATAGAACGAGAAATCTTTAATCAACTTCTACAAGTAATATATTTTTTGTTATCTATAAATCAACACAAAGAAACTTTAACTAAAAATATATATAAAGGATGCTCAGATAATCATTTTTCATTCGGTAAACGAATTCTATTTATATTATTTTTAAATACGAAAATATTATGTTATTGATGTTATTTAATGTTATTTAATGTCATCGTTATGTGATTTACAACATACTTTTTTGTACTCGTAAACACAACAAATTTTCTATTTGTATCTTTAATAATGGAACAACAAACAGTTTCTATAATTATCTGTTATACCTTTTTTAATAGTATTTAATCTTTTTGATTGGTTGATTTATGTTACATAAATACATGTGATAAGAAATATTAATATGATACATAATACACAATAAAGTAATTGAAATTAAAAATTAATTTTATTTTATATTTTATATTTATTTAATAGAATACAGAACAAACTGAATCTTTTTCCAAATTAGTATATAACGTGATATGGGTTTTCGGGTTTTAAGTGGTTTTTTTAATAGTAAATTTGTGTTCGTTGTGTTCAAAACACTTGCCCATTATATTCTTTTTGGCAAGATTTTCTTATCGAAAAAGGAAAAACATTGGGTCTGTTTTTAAAATAATCTTTAATGATAATGGTAATGGTGATGAGTATTGATTTCTGTCACCGTTACCGTTACCATTACCATTACGATTATGATTAAAGATCACCCACCCTTCCTAAGAACAAATGTCCTTTATATAAAAAAATAAAAGATCATGTGTTTGAATTTTTTGTTTGTTTATTGTTTATTCAGCTCCTTTATCCGTAAGCCATATGAGCCATATGAAATATCGGATATAGGAATTAATGAGAACGATGAAAGGAAAAATGGATTCGAAAATAAATAAACAAAAAAAATAATTAATTCTTTTTTTTTATTCATTTTCAAATCTATTTTTTCGTTCATATAGCTCCTTTATCCATAAGCATATGAGCCATATGAACAAAAAAATGAATTCAAAAATAAATAAATAAAAAAAATAATTAATTCTTTTTTTTTGATAAAAAAAAATTAATTTTTATTTATTTGCTTATTTTTTGAATCCATTTTTCGACATAAACCATATGAGCCATATGATTATCAGATATAGAACGATGAATGGAAAAATGGATTCGAAAATAAATAAATAAATAAAATAATTAATTCTTTCTTTTTTTTGATAAAGAAATTAATCTTTTTTTATCAAAAAAAAAAAAGATTCCTGCTAAGATTTTTACTATTTGTTATATTTATGATAGTACTGAGCATCAGACAACTGAATATATTGTTAGAGAATTAACTGGAATAGTGAGATTAAGTGATGATGATTCAAAAAGAATAGTATATCTAAAGATAAAGGCTTTTGTCCCAATTAACACTAAAATCATGACAAAGATTGAAAATATTATATTGTAATAATTTTTTTATTATTTACATGCATTTGATTTTTTTAATTAATTTTTTTTAACCTTAATTTTATTCTTTTTCAAAACAAAATAAATAAAAACAAATTAAGATTAGTGCAACATCTATAAAAATATTACATGACCTTACTTTTAATAACATGCCAGTTTTAAGACTTGATACAGTAGTAATTGGTTATACTACACAACAGGTTACAAGAAAAGATGATGATAGTATATTAGGATTTACAATACAAGAATATCTTGGTGACTTTGAACAGCTTAAGTTTTCATTAGAAGTAATTCACCTCTCAAACAATAAATATCTAACTAAAAAAACTGATACAATAAGTGGGAATGACATAATTATGTCATTCCCACTTAGTTTAGGTTATGCATGTGGCGTGATTCATTTTTTAGGCCACACTCGAAAGTGGTATGATTTGTTTTTTAGGCTACACCCGAACTGTCATATATCAGTTTGGTGGTCTGACTGATTTCTATTATCAGATCACATATGACACATTGTATATTAATTTGATGATCGCGGTTGGTTTTAAAACTAATGAGCTCTCCGAAGTAGGTTATAAAGTTGCGCGTGTGACAACTCTGTATAATGTTTTAAAGCTTCTAGATTTTTAAATTCGATATCAAAAATTGTATAATATATGGTGGTTATATCTGATTTCAAATATAAGGAGCTTCCCGAGGTAGGTTATGCTGGGAAAGAGTCAGCTGTAGGTTATTCCCAGTCAGATATGTGGTCTGATGACAAAAGTTAGCCACATGGGTAAAAAATATATCTGATGATGCATTCAGTCACGTGTCGTTATTCGAGTGGACAAATAGCCAGAGTATATATTTTCAAGCATGTTATCGGATACATGTTGTCAAGTATATCATGAAAATGCTATCAGGTCATGCTATCAAATTGTATCCTAGTTATGTCTTAGTTACATTTTTATTATCTAAAGAGTTATATTTTTATATAATAAAAAATGACGCGTAAATGTACTTGTCTATTCGGTTATGATCCCAGTGAAATTTGTGAAAACACTTGGATACCTGAGGAATGTAATCATCAGAAAGCTAAAAGAATAGTACCATGTATTAAATGTAGTAAACCATCCATTTCAACTTCTGGTCATTGTCCATCGCATATCAGAGAATACTATGATAAACTTCTATCAAATACACGAGAAAGAAGTATGAGAAAATAATGGATACCTACTCTGACATATATCTGAAAACATATGTCGAGATGGTGTATTCCTCTATTTTTTATATATAATATATCTGAAGATTACATCACCTAACCACATACCGAAAACGTATTATCAAAAAGTAAAGTGCTCTGCTATATTACTGAAGTTGCCTACCATGACTACATACCCTGAAAACGTATCATCAAAACAGATAGGCTTCTTCATTTTTTCTTATAATATATTACTGAAGTTACTTACCCTGAAAACGTATCATCGAAACAAGTATATAATTCCCATTTTTCTTATATAATATTACTGAAGTTATATATCCCAATCATATACCCTGAAAACATATTATTGAAACAGGTATATAACTCCCATTTTTCTTATATAATATTACTGAACTTATATACCCCAACCATATACTATCAAAGTATGAACTTATCTACCCAAAAACATACTATCAAAATAGGTATATAACTTCCATTTTTCTTATAATATATTACCGAA